AAATGCCAGCGTCGGACTCCAAGGCGCGTCACCATCTGCACCTTAGTAAATCCACGCTGGGTGCACCACTTTGCAACTTCGTCTTCTGTAGACCACGTCTGCAATCCTTCGGTGATCGCCCACTTGAGTGGGCGAGCGGTCTCGTCCGTAACTGTCCCTTGGGCATTGGCGCTCAGTCGATAGATCAGACGTCCTGAACTTTGACCAGCAGCAGCTTAAACTCGAGAAAAATACTTGGCATCCTCCTCCTCGTCTCCACGCTTGAACCTTCCCGGGATCTTGTCCGACTTATGATCTGATAAGAAAATACCTGCTGGGAGATCCACGGCAAAGAGAGGCGACCGTGCATCCCCTCGGCATACCAGCACACAGGTAGCTTCCGTCTTGTAATCCAACGCGCCCTTGACTTTGACGGTGCCTTTCCTCGCGGCGGAGTCGAAGGCCAAGGCGGGCAAGGGCACGGGGTCCTGCTGGGCGCGTCCGTAAATTTCACTGTCACAATACGCCTCCGCGAATGTGAGCCTCGCCGTGAAGATGGCTAACTTAGCAGGCTGACGATCATCATCTTTGAGGGCCTGTGGCAGAGTCGCCTTGGAGAGGGCTTTGGGCCCATCGTTGATGACTCAGGCCTTGGCCCTCGTAAGGCCACTCTGCCCTCGACCAAAACATCGTCCAAAACTGCAGTCGGTTGATCAGGCCACTGTTGCAGCCCTGACCTGAACCCAAGATAGGTAACATCATAACTCATTCCAGTAGCAAGTTTCCACTGGGCCGCCTTCGCATGCCCAGCTTCATTCTGGCACGAGATCACGGCTGGCCCCTCCAACTGCTTCCCCCGAATAGAATCGCATGAAAACTGCAGCGCCGTGCCACGCAAGACTCCATTAGCGATGGGCCATCTTCTGGGTCGGTCGTGATGCAGACGTGGACGTGGTATACAATGCACTAGTCGCCTCTCGCCCAGTGTTCCCCGAGGCTTGCACGTGCCTATCGATGATCTTGCGTACTCTGCTAACCACCTCTGCATCATCAGGAACATATGTTGCGGCATCCGCATTGGCAAGCATCCCTCTTAGCTTGACCAGCAGAGGCCCCCCTCTGGGCCCCTCAGGCACAGGCAGCCTGGTGGCACCCGCGGCACGCGTCGTAGTGGTTGTCGCTCGGTCGGCGGCTGGTGCCCTTGATGATCCCCACATGGGACTCCAGCTCGCCCTGCATCTTCTGCACCATGCGCAAGTGGATGTTGGCTGACGCCTTGGCCTTGGACACGCCAGCACCCGACTTCCCTCCCTTCTTCTCTCTTGGGCTTGCCCCCTCCATGGCGCGGGTCGTGGACAGCTCGATCGGATAGATCGTCGCGAGGGAGACGCTCATCGGCTTGGCGTTCGAGATCAAGGTTCGCGTGCAGCAAGGCACTGCACCCGCCGACCCCGAAGGCCGCGTCGGACGGGCCCAGGATGGGTGATCTCCTCGTCGGCGGGCAGGGCGAGGAGGAAAGAAAACACATGAAAGGAACACCCGCACTCCGGACCAGAACCCCCTGACAGAAGCTAACGATCAGGGTGAAAGCGTTCTTCTGGCTCGAAAGTCTGACCGAAGATCGCGATGCCCAGCCGACAAGCAGCAACCGGCATCCGACTTCGGCACGCAGCGGAAGGTGAGGACGAACAAATTATCCATCCAGCTTTGAAGTAACTCTTGGGTATGTCGTCCACAAACTCAATGGGGCTGTCTGCGCCTGCGATCTGCCTTCTCTCCCGACAGAAGTCAGGGCAGTCTTGGAAAAAGCGTCGCATGCTGGGCAAAGGGCACTCACGCCACTTGCAGCGCTTTCCACTTCGAAGGAGGGCGCCCGTCTGGACTGCTCCAGAACGGAAAACATTCAGCAGCCACTTGGAATGTCTGTCCAGGCCCTTGGAAAACTTGACGAAAGCAGCACCCGAATAAGCATTGATGTCAATGTCAGCCAGGCCTTCAGTATCATTGCGTGTCATGTGCACGGCTTGAAGGCCCCGAAGGCGAGCGATAGCCCGAACGACATGTTCACCTTCAGGCGGAGCACGTGTCCAGAAGTGCCCGCTGGTGCCTCGCACAGCTTGTGGAACTCGAAGAACGCGTGGATCATCGCCTGGGCTTCTGCCAAGCTTGATTCCCCAGGAGGGATCATGAGCAAGAACTTGCAAACCAAGAGGCTCAAACAGGGCTTGAAGGCCCCGCAGGAGAAATTCACTGGGCATCAGGTTCTCCGACAACAAAGCTCTGCATGCCTGGAAAGGAAATGAGTAGACAGGATGAAGGCGCACACGCAACGCCCACCATGTGCCCGAACACCACCAGGTACACTTGCTCTTAATCCTGGCTCTGAAGGAGGCCCACGAAGACTCTAGGGGTGGGTTCGACGAGAGGAACCGCCCGCAGCCAAAGAGGCCGAACACACGCTGCAGCTAGATGTTCACGCACATCACTTGAACCAGGGAAGCTTTGAGAGATATAAGCAGCTCGATGCAATATATTCCAACCTCCTCGAGGCCGAATAGCAATGCTTGGGTTTCCAGGGTCGCAAATAAATCCAATATGCTCGATCTCATTCCCTTGCCCGGTCTCCCACATCTGGCGCTTCCCAACATTCTCGGAGTACCCGATAGAGTCGTCGAACTGTTTCGCGATAGCAAGACCACGCTCGAGCACTTCAGAGGCCCTAGGGCCCGTCGAGGCAAGGCTTCGATCGTCCACATGGGCCCAACCATGGGCCGGCGCGCAGCCCCAAGGAACTAGGGTAGCTGCCATGGCTCCAGGGGCACAGCACAGGAGTCCCCCTGGGGGAGCCCACGAGAGACCCACAGAGGTTCAGCGGGCTCGTTGTTGACGCAACACACCCGAGGGCCTCCCCGCGCGGCAAGGCAGAAGTGCACGACGGAGTCGGGAGCACACTCTCGTTCGAGAGCAGCGGCCGCCACACCATGATGCATTAAATCATAAGCTTCGGATAAGGCCATTTCAGCACCGCGATCAGCGCCGTCGGCAAGCCAAGCAGACACTGCATGGATCACAGCAACATTCTTATTACAAGCAAATTGATTTTCAGCAACTTGGGGCAGAGCCGCTGCTAATGCACCGAGCCAAATACGAATCGCAGCAAGAGCAACAGATATTGGACGGCTCTCGTTCTCGTCTTTCTTGGGGGCCCCGACGGCGCGCCGAGGAAAAACAATCTCGAGCAGGTCGCGCCCAGGGTTGCCGCGACACCGAACGAGATGCTCTGTAGTTGAGACCCACACCTCATATAGCTCACTGATCATGATGGGGGCCACGACGTTAAGGACCTTTAACTCACGGGCAGACCAACCATCAAGGCCAGCAGCTCCATGACACGTCTTGAAGGCCCCCATGAAGGTGTCGAAGTCGGGGGCCCAACACTTGGGACACGAACTCTGTGGGAAAGGGCGGGTAGACGCATTGGCCCACTCCTCCCATGCCTGAACTTTGGGGGCAGACTCGTAACCAGTAGGGCACCAGCAAGCCTCCCACTCCTTCCTCATCCCTTCAGCATCGAATCCAGCAGCAGGGCTCGGGGCCTTGAATACTGGGGTTGTCAGCTTGGACAGGTCGGCGGACCATTCCCAAAAATTCGCAGCCCATGTCCGTCGACGGGACTGGGCAACCTTTCTCTCGTGCTCTGTGATTGACCGGTTAAAAGCCTCAAAAACTCGACCATAAGAAGGCCAACCATCACTTGGGAGCAGTAGCCCATCAGCAGCAGCACTAACATCAGAAGCAACAACCCGACGCTTAACTTCCCGAACGGGTCCAGCATGATATCTGACTTGTTCGTTTACAGCTCGATGGGGTTTACGAAGGCGGCGAAGGGCGACGGACTCTTCGAGGTTGTGGGTGGCGGGCTTCGCCGTGGGCCTCATGGTGGGGACCGATCCTTTCGGGCGTTCGGCTTTGCGGGCCACTTCGGCCCATCGACGGGTCTGGGCTTGTTTAGGGCAGCCTCAGTTCGAAAATGCCATGCCTTCCACTTTTGCTCTATATCGGCGAGGGGCGACGGCTTGACGACAGTCTGGTTCACTTCCTCCTCGAGCAACTGAAGGCCCCCAGGAATAACAAGCGCAACTTTGCGGGCTTCAAGCAATGCTGTATGCCGAAGACGTTGCAGGGGCCTGACGGGGACCTCGCACTCGCTGGTCCCATACATGGCGAGCCCATGGCGGGGGATCCCTGACAAATTCCGCGCCTCTTCGGGCGGGAGCATGACGAGGACCTCCTGTCCAACGCAAGCACCTGGCGGGGCTCGCGCCCGCAGAAGTCGTCGGAAAAGGCGCAGCCGAAATCGACCAGCCAAAACTCAGCTTACTAGAACACCTCGGCAACCAATTTAGATCTCCAAGGACGCAGACATCGTGGCCGAGGGTCTGGCACCACTCCACTAGGGAGGCAAACCAACCATCGTCACCACCCACGGGCCCGTGGGCCGACACGATTGTGCATGAGGGTGTTCTCACTGCAATAGCCCGATCTTTCAGAACTTTACTTCGAATGGCCGAGATCTTGCCAAGCGTACTCTTCGAAAGGACTGCCGTGCCTCCTTGGATGGCCGAGCCGTTAGCTCGCTTCTCAGGGGCTTCGCTGCATGCGATTCCCCAACCAAAAGTACGCGCCACCTGAATGAACCATCTTGGGCGGGCTTAGACATGACGGATCTCTTGCAGCGTGAGGAAGCTAAACTGCTACACCTCCGGGTCGGCGAAGAGACTCCAAGCAAGCTCTCGCACGAGTCAGACTTGTGACATTGATCGGCCCAGCGGCAACCGAATTTGCAACTAAAAAAAGGCTTCCTGGGTTCAAGATCTCCTCCGCCTACCAGCGGGCCTAGTCAAGAGGAGGAGGGCCTGTCCGCCGCCGACGACGAGGAGGCAGGGGCCGACGAAGCCGCAGCACGCATGGCTTCCCTCTGGCGACGCTTAAAGTCGTAGTTGTTCTGAAGTGCTGCTTTCCGTTGTCCAGGTGCGAGGCTGGCCGCTTCTCTTTGGCCCGCCTCGCATTCTGCTTGTTGATGCGCACCCGGTGCGTCTGCCTGTAGCGCCGCCGAGTCTCCTCGTACTTCGCGCGGGCTGCTTCGGCTGTCTTTCTTTTGAACTCTTGGTGCTTGACAGGGTCGCTCACGATCTTGGCGCGACGGTCGCGTAGCCACTTGAGGTGGAGCTCTTGCTCTTCGTTTGCCTTCTAAGCACCGGCAGCGATGATCCGCAACTTCCGAAGGGTAAATCGCTCTGGTCGAGCTCGGCAGGGATGAACCTCGGCATTCTCAAGGCGCTTGCGTCGGCCACATCGATGACCCAGGGAACCTTCAACTGTAGCTCCTTGCGCCATCTCGAAGTCCAAATTGCAAAAGACCTCGCGACGCTTGGCGGCCCTGCTGGATCTCCATTTGCGGCACTTCTGCTTCCACCCTTCTCGCTTGCGCTTCCGAATCGTAGTCTGCCTCTGGCTGGCACTTGTTGCGGCTATTTTCCTGGCGTGCTGGTTCTTGCACTGTGGGGGATCACAACCTTAACGTTGACGCCAGCGTCGACGACGCTCTGGGCGGCGTTCTGGCGGCGCGAGGCCAGTCGGTCCACGTCCACAGGGGCACTCGAGATGATCACCAGGCTGAACCAGAAGAGGTTCGTCAGCCTCGGCGACCCCAAGGGCGCCGCGTGCTGCGCTGGACGTCGCTCGGGGGGCTCCACGGAGGTCGCGGGCTGCAGCGCGGCTGGACTTCGCAGGGCTAAGGCCGAGGGGCGACCTGGCCTGTGGAACTGCTGTCCTACTCATCTTGGCGTCGGAGGAGCTGGCCACACTCTTGGCGCCGCCAGTGAAGTCCACGGGGTACGGTAGCACGCCGTCCTTCCACTGTGCTTCGACACCAGCTGGCAGCGCAGCTTTGAATACAAGGCGTTGGTAATGACGGCGAGCAAGCGTGAGCCAAATGGCTCCCTTCCGTTTGCGCCCGCCGGACGGATGTCCATAGAGAGTCCACTTGGAATCAGTCTGGGCCCATGTGAAGACGTCGTACTGCGCGCAGGCCGCGGCAGCGCTCACTGCCAGAGCGGTAGCGCACGTCGTCGACGTCGAGATCTGCTTGGTGAAGGGGTCGTCTCGCTTGAGGCCGTACTTCTGATGCCTCTTGGCTAGCTCGTCGGAGACCAGGGGGCGGGGAGAGGCTCGGGTGCGACCGCCGACCGCCAGATCCATGGGCGACGCCGGCTGCGCACTCGGCTTCAAGGGCTGAAGAGCGTCGCCCGCTGCGATGAAGAAGCAACCACCTCCCCCGGCATTGTCGCGCTCCGAGGCCCACTCCTTCCAAGGGGCTTCAACAGGTCTTTTGGCTTTCTTGGGGGCGGGGGCCGCTCCATCTTCATTCGGATGCTTTCCTTCGCTTTTCCCCTCGGCGGCTGCAGCGCCAGCAGCCGGAGCCGCGCTGGCGGCCGCGGGGCGTTCAGGTTGCTGCGGGGCGGCAGGTGCAGCTTCAGGTGGGCGATGCTTAGGCAACGGGGTGCCCCAGGCAGACAACGGCTTTGCCGTCGTATCTTTTCCTTGGGCTATACTTTTACCCCCAGCGTTAACCTTCATGGCCACGGTCGCTCCACTAGAGAATTGAATGGCCGCTTGGGTAGACGCATTGGGTAGTTCAGCTCGAGATGCCAACGACGAACTCCAGGGCGCGTCACCATCTGCACCTTGGTAAAGCCTCGCTGGGTACAATGCGTAGCAACTTCTTCTGTAGACCCCTTGGTGATCGCCCACTTGGGCGGGAGGGCGGTCTCGTCGGTGACGGGCCCCTGGGCGATGACGCCAAGGGGGGCGTTGGCGCTCGGCCTATAGATCAGGCGTCCTGAACTCTGCCCAGCAGCAGCTTTGACTCGAGTGAAGTACTTTGCGTCCTCCTCCTCATATCCACGTTTGAACCATCGCGGGTCTCTTTTTCCGACTTCTGCTCCGATAAAAAAAAGACCTCTGCTGGGAGATCAACTGCAAAGAGAGGAGCTCGTGCATCCTCTCGGCATACCAGCACGCATGTGACTTCATAATTATAGTCGAGAGCGCCCTTCACCTTGACGATGCCCCTCCTCGCGGCGGAGTCGAAAGCCAGGGCGGGCAGGGATGCTGGGTCCTGTTGGGCGCGTCCGTAAACTTCGTTATCACAATACGCTTCTGCAGAAGTGAGCCTCGCTGTGAAGATGGCCAACATGGTAGGCTGCCGATCATAATATTTGAAGGCCTTTGGCCGTGTAGATTTTGAGGGGGCTGCGGGCCCGTCTTTCATGACCCAAGCCTTGAGAGTAGTGGGGCCACGCTTGCCCTCGACCATCACGTCTTCCATAACTGCAGTCGGTTGTTCTGGCCACTGTTGCATCCCCGACTTGAAAACCACATAAGTGGTATCAAACTGCATTCCTTAGCCAGTTTCCACTGAGCAGCTTCCACATCTGCAACTTCGTTTTGGCACGAGATAACTGTTGGCACCTCCAACTGCTTCTCTCGAGTAGACTCGGCTTTGAACACTGCAGCACCATGCCACGCAAGACTCCACAGGCGTTGAACTGTCTTCTGCGCAGGTCGCGATGCAGGGGTAGAAGTAGTAGCATTCAGTACACTAGTGACTTCTCGCCCAACACCCGTATTACCCGAAACATTCACATGAGAGTCGATGATCCTGCAGACCGCAACGGTCACCTTCGCACCATCAGGATCATATGTTGCAGCATCTGCAGTGGCAAGCATCTCCCTCACCTTGACCAGCAGAGCCCCCCATCTTTGGGCCCTTCAGGCTCAAGCAGCCCGGCGGTACCCGTGGTACGTGTAGTTGTGGTTGCTCGGCGAGCGTTGCCCTTGATGATCCCCGCAAGAGACTCCAGCTCGCTTTGCATCCTCTGAATCATGAGTAAGTGGATGTTGGCCGTCGCCTTGGTCTTAAGACGCTCCAGCACCAGACGTTCCTACCTTCTTCTTTGGTTTGCCCCCCTCCATAGAGAGGATCATGAACTGCTCGATCAGGTGGATCACCACATGGGGGAAGCCCGTCAGCTGTGCGTTCGAGATCAAGGTTCGCATGCAGCAAGGCGCTGCACCCGCCGACCCCGAGGACCGCGCTGGACGGGTCCAGGAGGGTGATCTCCTCGTCGGCGGGCAGGGCGAGGACGCCGCTCCCGCGAGTGCCGCGGCCACAATCCGCGGGGGGCTCGGCCACGTCTTCCAGGCAGATGACGCACATGCTGGCCGAAGCCGGCAACTCCTCCGAGAGCTGCCCTTTCAAGTGTACAGCCGGCACCTCCGCGAGCATCCCGGCCACGATGTCGGCGGTGTTCACCGCGTGGGGAACGCTGCCGCGCACGTAGGCTCGACCTCGGGTGCACAGGTTGTGTTGCGCATGCAGGGTCCCCGCGTGGACGACCACCGTTTAAACGAAAACAATCATGTCCGCCGCGGGAAACGTCTCTGGCTCGCCAACCCGATCAAAGGACACCAGCAAGCAGTTCAACATCATGGACCACGCGATGGGCACGTAGAGGGGGGTGCTCGAAGCGGAGACCCTGGCGCCCGCCTGGCCAATCATGTGGCAGATCAGGGTCATGATCAGCACGCCGAAGAAGCAGGTGTTTGAAAGCGTCATCGACAGGCAAACGCTTAGGAAAAACGCCGTGCCTCCGAAGATCGCGATGGACACCGGCATGCTCCCGCGATTGCATCGCACGTCCAGATGTGGCACGAGGCTACTCGGCACTGGCAACATGGCCAAGCAGCCAGACAGGGAGTCGGGGGGAGAGAGGGAGGGAGGAGAGAGAGGTGGTTAGATAGCCTCTGCTCCTGAGACTGGCCCTGGGACTCATGCCATTGGCAATCCGATTCTTGAGCCAAAATGGCTACGGAACCTCTTGGGTGTTTCTTCGTGGGGCGTCTTGGGTCTTCTCGGGCCCCCTTGGGGGCATCGTCGGGGTTCTCCAGGCAGTCGGAAGGTGATGCTCTGCAATCTGAAGCCGTCATTGGCCGTCTTGGCTGCGTCTTGGCCACCCGGGGCCACGTTGAGGCAATCCGGAAGCATCTCGGGTGCCTCCTGGAGGCAGTTTTGATGCGTCGAAGGCAGTTTTCGGCTATCCTGGGACGCCTTGTACGCCTCCTGGGGGCTGTTTAGGGCCTCTTGGGATGCTTTTGGGGGCCTCGTCGGACCACTGGGGGACTCTTGGGGCTTCCTGTGGGCCTCTTAGAGCGGAAGGCTCTGCTGGTGGGTTCGCGTTCCCCTTCTTGGAGCTCCTGGGCGTTCCCGCGGCAGCTTCCCCAAGGCGCCCAAGGCCTTCCCAAAGCGCTCCTGGGCGCTTCCAAGGCACCCCGCCGTCTTGCACCTCTTCAAACAAAACGGCGAGAGACACGTAGCCACCACTATCGTCCCGCCCTCAACCTAGCAATGCGGAGCCACAAGGGCCAGAAACCGCACTGCTGGGTCGAGGGAAGGGGGCAGCGAGGGTTACCAACCTCAGGGGGGAGCCCAGGGACGTTTATACAGCCAACGATTGCATGTAACATTGTGCGGCATCGGGCTGCCATCGGCGCACGAGGAACGGAGACCGCCAAATCGCCCGAGCAAACAATTAATTATCTTCCCTGAACGTGCCCACGGCCCTCTCCTCTCCTTCCTCCCCCTCGTCCTCGCCCTCTGGGCGCTGGCCTTAAAAGCACCGCGGGGGCGGGCGGAAGGGCGGGGCCGTGGGCCGCAGGGAAGGAAAGAGGGGTGGGCGCTGTCCGATGTTGAAGCACATCGGGCGGAATTCTACCCGGTGCGATCAGGTCGCGAAGTCGAGCGCTATCCCGAAGCGCAGGTGGAGGCCGCACTTCAGAAGGTCGTTGAAGCAGCGCTGGGAGGGAGCACTTCAGAGGACTGGTCATCGCAGGGCGCGCTCACTTCTTCAGCTGGTTCCGTCGCGTCCCTCCCCCCAGAGGGCCGCGGGGAGGAGGGCCGACCAAACGCTCTCCTTTCATTCCTTTCATGTCCAGGATGGCCGCGCGCAGGAGCGGGATCCACTTGCGGCCCAACTCGTGGTCGGAAGCGATCGCCACGATGAGTCGGCCCTGCTTCTCGATGGTCTGCTCTCCCTTGTTCCGCTTCCACTGCCAGTGGAGCACGATCTCGCCGACGGCCTGGATGGGTAGCTTCTGCATGTGAGTCACGTAGAACTCTTTGATCTCTGTGCCCCATGCCTGCTCTTGCTTGGCCAGCCAAATCAGCCCCGCTATGAACGCGCGTGGGCGCGGGGGGCCTCGAGCTTTGAAATCCAAAATATATCATTTGTTTTCGTTTCTCCGCCAGCTCTTCAGATATCTCTTGGCGCCGCCGGCCTGCGATCTCCATCCCGTCCGAGAATCCGCCGTCGATGAATGCGAGCGCCCAAGTTGCGTGCGCCGTCGCCGTCAGCTCTGCGATGGCCCTGCTGTCTGCGAGCGCCAGGCGCGCTATGAGCACGACCAGGGGTGCGATGATCTCGCCGTCGGACCTGCCTGCCAGGATCTGCGCTCTGGCCTCGGTCTTGGCCTTCTTGAGGTCTGGCGGTCCCCCGGCAGGCGGGGGCGTTTGAAGCCAGTCGGGCGCTGCGAGGGCTGCCGTGCACCCCGAGCATGTCGGTGGAGGCACTTCGGCACCCAGGAGCTGGAGGCGCAGCTTCTCGAAAGGGGATGGCTACGGAGGTGCAGGCATGAATCGCCCAAGTCGGCCGCTCGATATTCACGGAGAACGCAAATGAGGGAGAGCACGGGCTGGACGGGGGGGGGGGGGCGCGAGAGCGCCCCCGTCCGGACATTGACCTTGGAGAAGGGCTCGTTGGAGATGTTTGCGCGCATCCCCTTGGCACCCGAACGTCTGTCGGCACGCGGCGCACGCACTTGTAGGTGCGAGGACCGAACAGGGGTTTCTGACCAGGTGGATGGTGCGCATGTGGTTTAGGAGGTCACGACGGGTGCTGAACGTGCAACCACAAGTTTTGTTCTCTCCCATCTGATCCTCGAGCTGCCAATCGCACGCCCACTCTTTCTGTGCCTCAGCGTGTGGAGGCGCAGGTTCAGGCACCGCCTTCGCGTGAATCGGTGGAACGGCGTGCGGCGTGGCCCGGGCCCTGATCTCCGTGAAGTCTTACTGGGAGAGCTCTTCTAAAACGTCTCTGTCGGTCAATCGCCCAGGGTTCAAACTGAGATAGCTACATGCGTCCTGCCCCCCGTCCAGGTCCTCGGCAGCCCTCTGGAATCCCCTTCTGGGGCCTGTGGAGCCATGGGGGTGCTG